CTGTCATCCAGGAGGACTGCAGCCACCATTTATACGGACTGCTACCAACACCCTGACTGACAGGGTGTCAGGTTGTATTTCTGACTGTGTCGGTGGTTGTTTCTTTTATATTATTGCATGTAATTTATTTTTTTTCTCTTTTCTCCTATTAAATTGTATTATTGACTTGGAGTCTCGCACTGGTTTTACTTTCAAACCAACACAATAGCACAGGGAACGCCACTGTTAAGGCAACAATTAGCTAGGGAGGCTCATTCAATGTTTCACCAGAATGCAAGGGGTCTACAACGGGAGTTTGAAATACCTTTGGCTGAAGCCAAGGCAATAATTAGGGCTTGCCCTATCTGCAGCCACCACAATAGTGGTTGTGGATTGGGACTGGGGGTTAATCTACGAGGATTGCTGTCTAATGAGCTTTGGCAAATGGATGTTACACATGTAGCAAATTTTGGACGTTTGAAATATGTCCATGTAACTATTGATACCTATAGTAAATATATTTGGGCAACAGCACAGACAGGTGAGAAAGCCATTCACGTAGAAAGACACCTTTGTAGTTGTTTTGCAGTAATGGGTACACCAAGAAAAATAAAAACAGATAATGGACCGGCCTACATCAGTGGAAGGGTCGAGTGATTTTTAAGAGAATGGGGTATTGAACATGTTACAGGGATTGCACACTCTCCTATGGGGCAAGCCATAATAGAAAGAGTTAATGGGACACTCAAAAGATACCTTGCCAAACATGAAAATATTAGAGATCCGCACTCTAGATTGTTAAAAGCTTTGTTTGTAATGAATTATTTGTGTGTATTTGGAGAGGCAGATCAGCCTCTGGCAGTAGTACATTATAACCCTGGTGAACCCCGGGAAAAGGGAGAAAAGGTATGGGTGAGATATTGGGACCCCAAGACAGGTCAATGGCAGGAACCTGCTAAAGTTGTNGGGATATCTCTGTATTTCCACCCCTACAGGAACAGTTTGGGTACCAGCGAGATGGACTAAACCGGTTCTCAATGCCTTAGCTTGGGAGGTGTCACTAATCCTTTCCGCACATGCCTAGTTGGCCTACTAATATGGGGACCTCAAGAATTTTGCGGCCTGGTAAGTAACATGTCCCTGTGCAAGCAGATCTCTGAAAAAAGGGTTGGTGAGCAATGCTTTGACCCTAAAGGGGACGGTGGACAACAGTGCAAACTAATTTAATCCCTTAACACCACCCTGTTGTCACCACCCGAGGAGTTAGATCTGTTTGGAAGTGCTAATGCCAGTTTGACAAACACATCAAAAGGGTGTTGGGTGAGTTTTCTCCCCAGAAATTTAAAGGACCTCAGCAGAAATCTAAAGGGATGGGCCACACTGAATTCCAGTTTGGACTCAGTCACCGTGTTTGGACAATTGTACTTAGGTTGTAACGGCAGTAACATTACTGCCCCCAGAAGGTTACCTCAGGGAATATTTCTGATCTGTGGGGATAGAGCTTGGAATGGGATTCCTGCCTTTCCACATGGAGGACCATGTTACCTGGGAAAGCCTTCATTGTTTCACCCTAACATGTCATTACTAATGAAATGGAGTAACCACAGTGCAACTAGGTCAAAACGCAGTATTCACGAACTAAACTGCAAAGACATAGGGGACCCTACCTTTTGGAGTGAACTTAAATCGGTCATGATCTCCACCATACTGCCCGGTGGAGGAGCCAATAAGGCTTTAAAGCTATCAAAACAGCTGGGATGTTGGGCCAGAGATGAGATTAACAAAACCTCCGCAATTTTAGATGTGCTGACCACAGATGTACAGAGTGTCAATCATGCCATGCTCCAGAACAGAGCTGCTATTGACTTTTTGTTGTTAGCTCAGGGACACGGGTGTGAGGAATTTGAAGGTATGTGTTGCATGAACCTGTCAGATCATTCCACCTCCATACATGCAAAAATCAGGGAACTACAACAAGGGTTGCAGAAGTTAAAGGAAGAAGATGGCTTAGGTATAGATGAATGGCTCAAAAGCCTGGGAATAGGGCCATGGCTAAGGAGCATCATAATGTATGCTATAGGTATTTTTGGTGTGCTATTATTGCTACTGCTTGCTTTGCCTTGTATGTTTGGATGCATTCAGAATATGATGGCACGTGCGACACAAAAGTTATGGCAGACAAACCTTCTTGCCCAAAAAGAAAATGGGGGAAGTGTGGAGAGCTTTGTAGAGGACTGGCTACGTGAGAAAGGACATGATGAGATTCCACTAGTCAGGAAATAAGGCCTTGGGCAAGAACATTGTGCCTTTGAGCAAGGAGCAAGGCAATCACGAGATGTCAAAATATGAATTAGCTTTTTTTAAAACAAGAATTAGCTGTTGCAGTAAAGCAACCG